TGCACTGCAGTCCTCGCGCTCACTACTGCGGGCCAGGGGGGCGTTGAAGAGATCCACACAGCCCCACCCCCCACCCCCCGTGGCCACATCCATGAGGACATGGGAGTACAGCGCGCTGGGGGCCAGTTTCTGCCTGAACACAGCTCCTGCCTGGGGCAGGGAGCAGCCAGGGGCTGTGGGGCAGGGTGGCGCACACCTGTCATCCCAGCACTCTGGCAGGCTGAGACAGGAGGATCACTAGTCTGACCCCAGCCTGAGCAACTCAGCACCTTAGCAAGACCAGCTCAAGATAAAAAGTAGAAAAGGGTGGGGATGTAGCTCAGTGTGAAGCCCGGGGTTCCAATCCCCAGGTACCCCCCCACAAAAAAAGGGAGATGGAGGCAACATCTGGAGGAAACAAAGATGGAGGGAGGGGGTTGGGAAGCCTTTGGGTGGAGGCCGGCCTGGCGCATGGGTGGGCAGCTGTCAGGCGCGCTGTGTCCCCAATACCCTGTTACCCCACCCTCAGGACAGCCTTCAATAACAACGTCAGCGTGGCGTATGAGTGCCTGAGCGCCAGCGGGCGCAAGAAGAAGCCAGGGCTGGACGGGAGGACCTACAGCGAGCTGCTGCGGCGTATCTGCCGTGACGGCCAGGCCCCCGAGGAGGTGGTGGCACCCCTGCTGCGCAAGATCCAGTGCCGAGACCACGAGGCTGTGCCGCTGGGTGTGTTCCGGGCCGGCATGCTCACCTGCTTCGTGCTGCTGGAGTTTGTGGCACGGGCTGGCGCCCTGTTCCAGCTGTTGGAGGCCCCGGGGCTGGCCACTGCCGACCGCCGTGTAGGCCAGGCTGTGCTGGACACCCTGGAAGGTGCCCTGGGCGCTGGGGACCACGCTGCCACCCCTGCCTGCTACCTGGAGGCCGGCTCACGCCTGGGGCCCGACAGCCTGGCACTGGCCATGGACCGCGCGGCGGCCGGGAGGAGGCCCAGCTCCCCCATGGCCCGGGAGGAGTTCCTAGAGAAGGCAGCCGCGCTCTTCATCGCCAAGGTGAAGCCAGTGGGTTAAGCCCACCCTGCGCTCCCCATACCCCAACCCTAACCAGGACCTGGGACACCTGCTGGCCAGGACCCTTCTCCTCCTTACCCCTGGCCAGCCTCCTGCCTACCCTAGACCTGCCCAGCAGAAATAAAATCTGTGTCAAGACCGCCCCTTGTGTGCGTCTGTGTGTGGCTGCGCTGCACCACCCCTCCCCCAGCCTAACAAATCAGAAAACACTTCTCATCAGCCCTGTAGTCACAGCACCCTGGAAGGCTGAGGCAGGAGGACTGCAAGTTTGAGCCTAACCTGAGCAATTTAGCAATTTAGTGAGATCCTGTCTTGAAAATAAATAGGTGTAGTGCTACACACCTGTAATTCCAGCACACAGGAGGCTGAGGCAGGAGGATCATCACGAGTTCAAGGCCAGCCTGAGCTACACAGCAAGACCCCGTCTCAAAAACAAAAAAGTAAATAAATAAGTAAAAACCCAGGCATGGTGGCACATGCCTGTAATCCCAGCACTCAGAAGGCTGAGGCAGGATTGCCATGAGTTGAAGGCCAGCCTGGGCTACATATCGAAACCCAGTCTCAAAAAATCAAACAAATAAATAAATAGTTCAGGAAATATAGCTCAGCGCAAAGGCCCTGGGCTCCATCTCCAGTGCTGGAAGAGAGAAAGACAGCCCTGAGGCTTTGCCTGGGAACACACTGCCAGAGTACTAGGCAGGGAGGCCCAGAGGAGGAGTCTGCAATCACATCACCACCACAAGGCCTGCAAACAGACTCTCAGTAAGCTGAGTGGAGATGCCCCAGCTTCTTCCTGTGTCCCCTCCCAGGGCCCTCCATGTGATCCCACCCGAGTCTCTTCTGCCCTGGGAGGTGACAAGGCTACAGGTTCTCTCAGGCATTTCTCTACTTCCACACCTTCTGGGCCACCTGAGATCAGGCATTTCTCTACTTCCACACCTCCTGGGCCACCTGAGATCATGTTTTTCTTCGTAACAAGGCATAGTAGCAGCAAAATACTATTGTGTGGGTCTCCATCACACTTCCAGCTCCATGCTAAATTCATGTCATTTGCCTCACCTAACCCCTTTTTTTTTTTTAAACAGTCTCAACCTGGCATGGTGGCACATGCCTGTAATCCCAGCACTGGGGAGGCTGAGGCAGGAGGATCCTTGTGAGTTCGAGACCAGCCTGGGCTACAAAGTGAGCTCAAGGCCAGCGTGAAATGCATAGTGAGACTCTGTTTCAAAAAGAAAGGAAAAAAAAAAAAGAAAGAAACACAGTCTCAAACTGTAGTTCAGGGTGGACTTGAACTCACTATGTAGCCCAGGCTGGCCCCGAACGTGTGGCAAACCTCCTGTCTTAGCCTCCCATACTGGGACTACAGGCATGTGCCACCACACCTAGCACCTAACACTTTTTATAGTTAAACAGAGGCTTGGTTTAGCATTTGAGTCCCATGTTGAAGGTCATAGCAGAACCCAAACTTGAATTCAGGGCTCTTGAGTGGCATTAAAAAAAGAAAAAGGAAAAAAAAATATATATATGGGCCAGTTTCACAGAGGAAGTCAGGTGCAGCTGGGTCCAGGAGCACAAACAGGGTTCTCAAATCTCTCATCTGTGGGCTCAGCTGTCCTGAGTGTCGGCATCATTCACAGGCTTGTGATGATAAGGTCCCTAACCCCACCTCAGGCCCTGCGCAGGAACCTCAGCACCGTGTTCCCTGCAAATGTCCCAGGCTGGAGGGCTCGGCTTGAATGATCCATCCCTGCAGCTGGGGCTTAGGATCCGTCCAACTTGCTGCAAAGGAAAGCTTAGTGCCTCGGCTGGGAAACCAGTGGGCAAAATCCCCAGTGTCTGCCACCCACCACTCTAAGATGCCCCATGGACCGGAAGCAGGTGCTTGGGAGAGTCAGGCCCCCATGAGGCCAGCCAGGCGGCTATAAACCGGAAACCCCAGCACTTCCTATAGGGAGGTCACTCTCAGGCAGGCTTGGAGCCCTGACTAGTTCTAATCACTGTTTATCGGTAGTATCAACACCCCGTAGAGGGCCAGAGAGCGCTAAGGACCCTCTGGAAGGTTCCTAACCACCAGACCCCGACTGACCCAGGCACCCTATGGTTTGCTCCACATCCTCAGGGCACTGGGCAGAGCTGCCTCCCGGGTAGACCCGGTGACATACCAAGTGGGTGGAGGGCCCAGTGGTCTTTCTTGGACTGATCCTTCTGGCCCCACCTCGGACATTTTCCTCCCTCACCACACTAGCTCCACCCACCCATCCCCCACTAGGACACCTCACACCTCATGAAGCTGGACCCGGAAGCCTGGGCACCTGTGGGAGGGAGCCACCCTCCACCCTGCCCCAGGCATCCATGCAGCTGTCAGCTGCCCAGGACCCATGTGGATGTGGCCACTGAGACATCCAGAGAGCCAGGGTCACAACAAGCCACTGGCACTCTGCCCACCCTCCTGGAGGACGTGGCTAAGCTGCCATCCCCACCCCAGCACCCATGACCGAGTGTCCAGGCAGGAAGTGTGTGGGATCTGGGTGGGGACCCTAGGCCACAGCCAGGCAGGGTTTGGTGAGCCCGGGGCCAGGGGTCAGCTGAGGTCTAACCGGCCCAGCTTGTCCCACCTCAGGGCTTCTGCAAGTTAGTGCTACATTCCAATCTGCTCTGAAGGGCTTAGGGAAGGTCAAAAGTCAGCCTGAAATTAGGGCACCCTCAGAAGCACCAGCAATCACAGGCCAGACCCCAGGGGATGGGGACTGGGTCAGGCCCTGCCCTGGGTCTTGTGGATTCCACAGCCTGAGGCGGGGCAGCACGAGGAGATGGACAAATTCTGTTAACTCTCGTCCTGCCTCTGCTCCTGTTCTCAGCCCCATCCTACAGGAAATTGAGGCTCAGCCGTGGAAGCCAGGTAGGGCCTGGAGCCTCCACTCGTTTTGGGTTTGTTTTGTTGAGACAAGGTTTCCCAGTGACGTGCAGACTGGCCTCGAACTCGTATCGATCCTCCTGCCTTAGCCTCCTGAGTGCTGGGACTACAGGCATGTGCGCCATCATGCCTGGCCTAGTTTTTTGAGACAGGTTCTCAGTAGGTAGTCCAGGCTGGCCTTGAACTCACTATGTAACACAAGGTGGCCTCAACCTCACAGCGACTCTCCTGCCTCAGCCTCCTGGTGCTGGGTTTACAGGCCTGCGCCACCACGCCCGGCCCCAGAGCCTCCACTCTTAACCCGTTCTCCTTCTCAGCCGACTCAGGGCAAGTGGGGTCTTCGCCGGCCCTTCCTTTATCAGGCTGGGAAACCGACCTGAGGTGCAGCCTCCGCCGCGGCCCCTCCCGAACCCCGCCCAACTTCCCTCCCATGGCCCCACCCTCCGCCGGGGACGTCACAAAAAAGGCACCCAAAGCGGCTGCTACCAGGCTGGACGGCACAACCTAGTCCTGCCCGCGTCCCCGCGCACACGCGCCCGCGGAGCTAGTCCGGGCGCGGGGCGGGGGAGGCGGCGGCAGCGGCCTTCTGGGACCAGAAGTGTGAAGCGCCTGCGCACAACGCGGGAGAAAAAGGACTCGGCTTCCCGGCGTGCCCCGCGGGCGGGAGCGCAGGCGCAGTCGGGTCCGGTGGCGGCCCGCAGGCGCAGTTGGAGACCGGAGAGGGCGCGCAGGCGCACTCGCGAAGGGGTGCGCGGGTAGGGCCGAGGCTAGCGCCCGGTGGGCGGCGACGCCAGAGCGAGTGGAGCGCTCAGGGTTTCCGAGTGGCGGCGGCAGCGGCGGCGGCGGCACAGAGGAGGAAGGCGGCGGCTCTCCCACGGCCGGCGCGCGGGC